TCACAATATCAACAATCAACTAATAAACCAATATAAAGACATTTTTGCGACTCGGGGAGATGTATCTGATTGTAAGCTGACCAAAAAAAAAAATGACAAAGAAGATTTAGGTGGCAGTTTTTAAAGGTTTAGTGATTTTTTTAAGCAAATGATAAAACATAGTAACAATTCACCTTTGTCAGCAAATAACGAGGCTCTTGTAGATATTTTGGAAAATTATGCCCTATTGACCGCAATTTCTGTATTTATTATGGCCTTCATTGCGACTCCTCCAGTAGATGTTGATGGGATCCGTGAACCTGTTTCTCGTTCTCTACTCTATGGAAACAATATTATTTCTGGTGCCATTATTCCAACTTCTGCAACTATAGGTTTGCATTTTTACCCAATATGGGATGCGGCATCCGTTGATGAATGTTTATACATTGGTGGTCCTTATGAGTTAATTATCCTACACTTCTTACGGAGAATAGTCCTAAAAATAATACATCTTGTAACAAATTATTCGGAACTTTCTATTTTCATGATCTTCAAGTGCTTATAGATATGCTCTATTTGTATCATTTTTAATTTTAAATCTCATGACTAGGGATAAAAATAGATTTTCAAGCCATTATAAGATTTCTAACACCAAAATTACATCTTGAAACAGAATTTATAAGTTTGCCTTCATTTTACAGTATAAGGAAGGCGCCTTATACTAATCTCACCGTAAAAAAGAATAATTGTGTCCATAAAGGGTTAGATTGAGCCAGCTAACCGCCAATGCTTGTCGAGTCCAAAAACCTTATCTTTTTTGGAGAATTTTGATCCAACTTTTGTTTGACAAGTTTCAAAACTTTTATTGATAAAAAAGAAAAATTACAATTACAAAGCAACAAAATCCGTAACCATCAGCTCTGCCAAGGTGACAATGACACCCACCTAGCATTTGCCAGATTATTTGCCTCTCTATAAATAATAATGGAGGATCTAACATCCATAACATTCAGCCATAATGATCTAAGAATTAAGAACCCTCTACTCCTTGCGGCACCACTTAATTGACACTATAAAGAATCCCCTTTGACAATCTAAATGGCCCGAATGTAGTCTTTCTTTGCTATTGGTAAAAGCATATGATTTTCTTCAAGAGATTTTCCGTTCAAAAAAAGGAGCTAGTCTATTTGTACACGACTTTAAAGCTCATCTCTATTAGCTATAGGTTCACTACAGGGTCACGCAAAGCAAAACAATACATGAGAGAACTAATTACTAACAATAACAATACCACCCAAACCATCGGGCCTTACATTTTCAAAAGAGCTCCCATCAAAATTCTATTTAAAACTCCCATCCAAACGAGGAGTCCATCTCACCTTAGGTCTGATTGTTGAAATGGATTGTAAAGCCAACACCTTTAAATTTAAAGCAACATCCACTTCATCTACATAGTGGAAAACCAGCTCCACCGGTCATATTGTATTCAACACTTTACCTCTCCTACAGGTAGAACGACTCCCTCGAAAGTCCTCATGTTCCTTTCTTTCCGGATCTCCCAATGCACCACCCCCCCTAAAAATCTTCTAAATCAACTGTCCCTGTCAAGTCAAAATAGGCATGCTTAGCTTATAGATGACATTAATTAGGCTTTTTGGCAGCAGTAACAAAAATCCCATTTGAGTAAAGGCCCACTCCCAAACACCCCTACCATAAGGTCAGTGAAGAAAGATGTGATCAACACTTTTCTCATCTTTTTTACTAATCAAACAAGCGTTAATCAAAACTTTTCCCCTCTTTCTCAAATTGTCAAACGTTAACCAAGACTTTTTCTCCTCTTCCTCAAATTGTCCACTGCTAAAACTTTCTCTCGAACAGCCACCGAAATTAAAGCTTTGACCTTGTGAGGTATGGGCCATTTCCAGATTTTATTAAGCACCGACTGTGACCATTTGACTCGATCATTAGAATAACAAACGATACGCTGATCCAACAATAATTCTGATCAAATGGATCTCCCAAAGGTTTCTTTGATGGACATCTTCCGTGGCCAGCGGGACAAGTGTGAAAACACATTCTCCGAGTCCTTGCAAAGATCTTAACAAAATCCTTAAAAAATCGATTTTTTTTCTTTTTTAGAGTAAAAGCAAGTCGATGAGGTTTACATTTTAGGAATGGAAAAACTGGTATCAGATCGTAGCTGTGGGAGGACTCATTCTAAGACCGTATTAACTAGTTTTTCTATATTCATGATCATGTAGTAGAGATCGTGGTCCCCTCTATGATGTACCTTGGAGGGGGAAGATGGCGGACTCACCAAAACTTTTCCAATAAAAATTAGTGAAATTTATCAAATTATCCGCAAGAGATGAAAAGTTTAACACTTTATTCATGTCTTTAGGTTTAATTTCAAAATGACCATAAAACAACAAATGATCTTGAGTAGGAATAGTTACAATTGGGCCGTTAAATACTCCCTTTCTTATGGATGCTTTGACAAATTCCTATGAAAGTTAAAAAATAAATAAGATAGTATTTAGCATGACAATCCATCCCAAGTTCCTAACTCAGGGATATTAAAAAATATAAAAAATCCTAAAAAAAGAAAAAAATTATTTGAGATATGTTTTCTATCTTTTTTTTTTTTTGTTAAAGATTAGAAATTTTTTTTAGCCATAAATACTTATTTTCGTATTTTTTCATCTTTTAAAATAGAGTAATGATCCTATGTGTCCCTCCCACACCTATGTGGAGGACCGCAAATGATCATCATTAAATTTGGCATAGATTTCTAAAAAAATTATCGCATAGGTGTGAGATTTGACTTTTCTAGAGATTTATGCAAAATTTAATGGTGATCCTACACACATAGATGTGGGATGGTCTCATAGGATCATTACTCTTTAAAATAATGCAGTTTCTATAGGGCTGTAACCATTTTTATTGAAATTGCGCTGCGGCTGTATACCTCATTCATCACATAGAAGGCGCAGATTCTTTGTTACCCAACAAAATAAACTTAACGAATCGGAAGCCCCGGTTTCCTTTGTCCTTTCTTAATTTTTTTTTTTTTTTCCTTTCTTTTTCTCTCTAACTTCTATCCGGCTCCCAAGTTGTTTGACCAGATTTGTATCACCTTCTCTCGCGACCCTCTTCCCGTAACCCATTGCCCTACACCTTCTGTCTATTTCTAGAGTATGCAATTGTCTTTCTCTCTCCCCAATTTACGCTTCCCTCCTAAGAGAACGTCTCACTTTCTCTCAGCCAAATCACCTCTCTCTAAATTTTTCATTGGAAAGAGCTTAAAAGGCCTTCTAATTATCTCTCCATCTCCCTCGCTCTAAAGTTTTCATTGCGAAAAAGCTTAAAAGGCTTTCAAATTATCTCTCCCTCTCTCTCGCTCTAAATTTTTCATAAGGAGAGAGCTTAATACGCTTGCAAAAATTAGAGACCAAAGAAAATATTGTTCGCGAAAGCTCTAAACCCGATAAGTTGATTTTTAGCAAATAAAGTATGAGAAATAAATAATGAAATACATATAACAAGAATACAAACATTTATGTGGTTCACCCAAGAGGATAGGGTACGGCAAACAGAAATCTATTAAATTTATATCAAAGATTTTGGAACAAACCTCGAAAAAAACCCCAAGTGGAAAAAACCCTTTTAAACAACTTTACATTCTTTCTCTTTACTTCTGGCAATATCGACAACACCATATATTCTCTTCACTTATGGAATATTTACAACACCAGATAGAGACGTGAGAGCTGATAACACCAGATAGAGACTCGAGAGCAACAACATATATTTTTTTTACTTCTGACAATATCGACAACATCAGATAAAGGTGTGAGAGCAACGTGAAATTGACTTTATTTCTAACTAAAAAGAAAACCAACCAAAATCTCAATGAGAACCATTTCTTTACAAGAAACAAACCTCTCAATCTTCAAGAATCTAAAAGAAGTACCATTATAATATTTCTTTCCATAGTAAGCTATCGTCTCTTTAAGAGGAAATTGCATTTTGGGAGTATAAAAAAGGCACCATCGCAATGTTTCTTTTTCTAGGAAATTACATCTTATGTATAAGAGGCTCTAACTCTCTAAGAAGTTATCTTTTTTTTAGGAGCAATTGTATCTTATGCACAAGAGACTCTAGTTCCCTCTCTCTCTAAAGGAACCACCGTTCCTAGATAAAACACCAGGATCAATACTTCATACAATGGTCGACCACCCCATAATTCGACAATTCCCAATCCTTGCTGAAGTTCCAAAACAAAGGACTTTAAATTTTTAGAGGAATGAGCTTTAGAGAAAGAAACGTGAAATTTGTAGAAAAATGAAATAGTAGCCCCCCAATCCTCGCTGAAGTTCCAAAACAGAGGACTTTAAATATCGAGAGAGGAACGAGCTTTAGAGATAGAAATGTGAAATTTGCAGAAAAATCCATCAAAACTTAGGCCTAGTTCTATCTGATCTGCTAAAAAAAAAAATATATAAAACTAAATAAATGAGAAAATAGAAATGGAAAAACTCTTCACCATGTATGAAAAGCAATGCTAATTTTTTTTTAGATTCAGTGTGTTTTTACATTTCACCGTTTCTTCCTCTCGAGGCTTCTCTGGATTCATACAACACATACAATGGCGGGGATAGAGAAGATGGAAAGTTAAAGTTGTGTTTACTCTTTGTGACCAGAGAGAGACTTGAAGGGGAAGGTATACTCTCTCTCCTGAAAAAGAAAAGAAAGTCCGCTTCTCTCTCTCCTAGACAAGAAAAGAGGCCCTGCTTCTCTCTCTTCTTTGATAAGAAAGAAGGGTGAAAGGTGCCTCGATTTTATGCAGCTTTACCAAATCATTTTCATTTAAAATGTCTTCGGTCGCAAACATCATTTTTGAAGGGTTATGCTTAAACACATATTTTCTACTTTTTTTATTTAGATCTTTTAATGTTTTTTTTAATATATATTTTTTTGCTACTACAATACTAATTGTCTGAATTACTTAAACACGCTCGAATAATCAACTAGGACCATTACCGACTACACAATCGAAGTCGCACTTTCTAAAACTGGGTTGAAGATACTACGTTGCCAAGATTTAGGATCCTAAAATAAATCTCGACCTCGGGACTCTAATATCTTTTGGCTGGGTGAGCCGCGTCGAAAACTCCCTGACACAACGCAAGCCTGATACGAGATGAGAACGCCCACGCCCTTCTCTTCTCCATCTATATTGACTCATTTAGCCATGACCAGTACCTTCGAACCACTCAGCACTGCGCCATTTATCGTCATTTTTCTGGGGCACACGCCTTCCAAACTCGCCTGAACCATGATGTCCGCAAGAGCAAATGCCAACGCCTCTTTCATGGACCGCCATGATAGCTCAGCTTGCCAAAAATGGCCGCTCATTCGAAGTCATGCGCCTCTTCGTCCAAATGCGAGCCCAAGGATCGCGCCCGAATCACGCCACTCTTTGCTCAGTTATTGCCACTTGCTCGAGCCACGGCCCGAGCCATTTAGGCCCTCCACTTCATGGGCTCGTCCTCAAGTCTCGGCCATGGCTCGAGCCTGATATTGGGGTCTGGAATTCTCTGGTTTCTATGTACTCAAAGAGAGGAAGCTTAGCAGAGGCTCTCATGCTCTTTGAGAGGATGAAAGCAAAGGATACTGTTTCTTGGAACATCGCCATTAATGGGTGCTTGAGAGAGGGATATTTTGAAATGGGGTTTGGTTTTTTCAGGAGAATGAGGGTATTGGATAGAGCCCAGCAACCAGATCCCGCCACTTTTACCACCATCACATCGGCTTCAGCTCAGTTAGGGTTTCTGCAACTTATTGAAACTTTACATTGCTTGGTTATGAAAAATGGGTTTTATTATGGGGAAATTCCAGTAGGGAATGCATTGATTTCAACGTATTTTGTGCACGAGAAATTGTTCGATGAAATGGATGAGAGAAATGTCTGTTCTCGTAAAGTGTTCGATGAGATGCCTGTGAGAAACGTGGTGTCTTGGACTGCCATGATCACCGGCTATTTTCATAGAGAGATGTTCAATGAGTGCTTGATCTTATTTAAAGAATGTCTTGGCTCAGAATCTGTGAGGCCGAACTCTGTGACCTTTTGCTGCTCACTCCAAACTTGCACAGTCTCACAATCTTTCAAACTGGGATTGGTGGTCCACGGCCTTGTGATAAAATATGGTGTTCTCCCTGATTCATGCTTAGAGAGCTCACTCATGGACATGTATGCAAAATGGGGTCAAATGCTTGATGCCGTGAAGCTTTTTGAAATGGCAGAGTCCCATGACATGGTGACCACAACTGTGCTCCTCGTTGGTCTCGCACAAAATGGGTTTGTCGAAGAAGCTTTAAGCCTCTTCTCCAAAATGAGGAATTCGGGTATCGAAATGGATGAGACCGTTGTCTCTGCAGTCCTTGGAGCATGCACTAATGGCTCATGCATGGCTTTGGGACTACAGATACATGGCCATGCCATCAAGTCAGGGGTGGTCACGAGCAATGTATTTGTGGGCAATGGATTGGTCACCATGTATTCAAAGTCCGGATCACTTAACGATTCGATGAGAGTCTTTAATGAGATGAATTATAGAAACCAAGTATCATACAATGCTATGATTGCGGGTCTAGCTCACCATGGTCGAGGCGCCGAAGCTGTAGAACTCTTTGAAGTGATTGAGAGGGAAGGTTTGGAACCGAACGATGTCACTTTCTTGTCTTTGCTCCATGCTTGTAGTCATGGAGGATTGGTAGAGAAGGGTTTCAGACTATTTGAGTCCATGTATAAAGACCATGGAATGAGCCCAAGACTAGAGCACTATGCTTGTATGGTGGACATGTTGGGGAGGGGTGGGAGGCTAAAAGAAGCGAAAAACTTCATCGATGGGATGCCATATGCACCTGGTGCACAAGTTTGGCAAGCATTGCTCGGGGCCTGCAAGATTCATGGCGACACCGAGATGGGGGAATTCGCTGCTAAGCAATTGCTCAGCTTGGTGCCCGAAAAATCTTCTGCTTATGTTCTGATGTCCAATATATATTCATTTGAGGGGAGGTGGGATGAGAAGGCTAGAGTTATGAAGGAAATGAGAGAGAGAGGTGTGAAGAAAGAAGCTGGAGTGAGTTGGATTGAGGTGGGGAGAATGGTGCATGGATTTGTAGTAGGGGATAGGATGCACCCTCAAGCTGAGGTTATACATGAGGAGTTGAAGGGGTTGATTGGTTTGATGAGAGATGAAGGCTATGTGCCTGATCTAAGGTTTTTGTTGCATGATATGGATCTTGGGAGCACCTTTTAGAGGCTGCTATTACATGAAGGGCAATGAAACAGTGTAGGAAGCTTTATGTTTGGATGACGACAAGCTATGGGTCCATTCTTTAAGATTAATTTTGGATAAACTAATGTTGAGTTGTGAAATACAATTTCACATATGTAAATTGATGGCTTGATGCCTATGATTAGGGCATGAAGCAATTTTTGCATGGGAAATGTATTAACATGCACCTATAGACGAACTATTTAACATTTAATATATTTTTTATGTTATTTAAAAAACCTATTAGAATACACATGATCATGAGTTGGAACAGGTTAAAATTGGTTAAATGTTAAATATTTGATAAATGTGAAGCAACTTTTACATGCAAAATTTATTATAATGCACCAAAAAATGAACTATTTAACATTGAATATATTTTTATTTTTATTTAACAAACCTATTAAAATACACATGATCATGAGTATTTTAAATGTTAAATGTTAAAATTGGTTAAATGTTAAATATTTGATAAATGTGCTTTGATGAGAGATGGAATATCTCTTCTTTGGCATGTATCTAATTTGGTGTGAACAGTTAGAAAGACGGAAGGAACATATGAGGAGGCACTTGGAGAGATTGGAAACATGGAATGTGTATCTAATTTTTCGTTTGTCTTTTGGCAATCATTTGACTAATGAATAGAAGCATAAACATCCACTATTGGTTTTAAAAGAAAGTATTGAGAGCATGCTACTCACGTAGGAGCACACTGTACACTACTCCCCCTGGCAAATGAGCTAATTAGGAGGATTTTTCCATCTTATTTGGTTTCTTAGATCTGATCAATACAAAGTGAACAATCTCAGTCCAATCAAAAGATATAACTTTTTAGGTAAATGAATAGTGCATTTGACATCATCATCATTATCATTATTATTTAAATTTGTCGCTAGGTTGAGGAGGTTACGTCCCTACAATTTGGGGTATTAAAAGCACTCCTACAGGGTTTTACCCCTAGAGTGAACAACTTAGGTACTCTTGTGGAAGCATATAGTCTATTGCTTCTTCTAAATCCCCAAATTGGCTGCATATAATGAGGCTTAGGGGACAATCATGAATGTAGCAGGGGCGTGAAGCTTTGGATATGAGGATCTGGTCAGGTTTACGTGTTGGGTTTATATGGCCATTAAAGGCTTTATAAAGGCTTATATAAGTATTTTATGTAGTGAAACTTGAACTTAGTGGGAGTGTGGTTTTGTGTGGACCATACTAAGCAAATGATGATTGCTGATATCGAACTGGGCTGGAGGTACTAGCTCAGTCGATTGGAAAAAACCTATGTTATCTGGACATAGAGATTAAACCGATAAGGGTTAAAAATAGGTCATCCCTTGATGAGATCTGAGCATGCTAAGGTGAGTGAGCCAAGGCACTGTATGAGCCTTGTGTGTGATGGTAGCCCTCAGAGACAGGGGTTAAAACTCATCCGTGTACCATCACATGACATGCATATATGATAGCCGTGTCGAGAAAGTGAACCACATTTCAAGGTGAAGCATGTGCATGTGAGAGACATTATCCCTATGCACCATAGAATTATGTTGCATCAGGTCTATGTGACATTGGTACATCTTTAGGGCACATTTCAAGGTGAAGCATGTGCATGTGAGAGACATTATCCCTATGCACCATAGAATTTTGATTGCATCATGTCTATGTGACATTGGTACATCTCTAGGGGAGAACCTGAAATCCACAGACTAAGATTATGTTCCCTTGTTCATTAGCTGACATTGGTAGCCCAATCATGAGCCCTGCAATAAACTGTTGGGCATGAAAACCGCTGGGTTAGTTTGAGAAAGTAATAATAGATCGTGATCCACAATAGAAGGTGGAGTGATCCAGTGTTTTATTTATTTATTCCTAGACCATATGAATCAATTTCCCATCAAAAGTATTTAATTATATTTGTTTTAATGTTATTTGATTTTTAGAATTGTTATTTGAATTTTTCTAATCTCTGGGTATTTTATTTATGAAATTTGGATTTATAAAAATAGAGATATTGATTTTACATTGTTTTAATTATTCAAATGGGATTTCATGCATTCTTAAAAAAATTATTACTTATTTTTTAAATAAATTATTATTGCATAGGAGGCCCAATAGTGAAAGCCACTGTAGGGTACCACGCCCCACCCCATGTTCTTTCCTTTTGGTGAATTTAAGCTTAAAGGCTTGAGGCTCAAGGTGTTGCGTTTTTGGTAAATTTGATTTTTGTGGAGTGTTAAAATCAAACATGGAAAGTGTAAAGGGGTAAATTTGTGAAAATAGTGAGTGCCATTTCATCATCATCATCATTTTATCATTTTTTTAATTAATTGAGGTCGGTTACATGAATCATAGTTCTTCATTCGACTCTCTCAAAGGTCATATCCTCAATGGGGCCATAAGTTCTTATATCTGTTAGGATTACTTTCAACCACATTCTTTTTGGCCTACCCCTTCCTCTTTTTAGTCCTTCCACTTGAAGTAATTCGCACCCCCTAACAGGTGTTGTACTTGGTCGACACCACACATAGCCAGCCTACCTAAGTCTACTCTTTCTCATTTTATCATTTATTGGTGCCACACCTAAATTCTCTCTAATAGATTTATTGCAAATTCTATCCCTTCACAATAGGCGATCAAATGAAAAAGAGTAGACTGAAGTGGGCTGGCTATGTGTGGCGCCGACCAAGTACATCACCTGTTAAGAGATACGAATTAGCTCAAGTGAAATGACTGAAAAGAAAAAAGGGGTAGATCCAAAAGAACGTGTTTGGAAGTAGTCCGAAAGTAAGTGCTATTTTGTAATTAACTATTTTCATAGTATTTTAATTAATAAAAAATTGGTTTAGAAAATAAAGGAAAAAAGTTCTAGCACCTTCCATATGATCTTGATAGTTAATCTATGAAATGAAAGGTTCACATCTCACACCCCACAAGTCCCCCACGATCAATTATGAAAATTCAACCTCGTTAAAGAGACAAACCATATAGAAATCTAAAAAACCCTAATTTCCATGACGCACTATATAATAGGGTGCCCTTTACCTATTATCTATACATCTAATATCTATCTTCTCTCATACCTCCCATCTTAAATGATCTTAGGATTTGTTCTCCCATATCTCTCATGACCTATGTGTTACGGGTATAGTATTTAGATGTTATATTTCTCATCTAGGTTATCAAGGGATAAACATTAGTTTGAGATCTAAGCACTTTAAAGAGTTTTTGTTCCATTGGAGGTTTGGCCTATATGCTTTCCATCTTGGAGATTAAGGTTGATCAATGATCCTATGCCATTTGAGGTGGTGACTCGGTGTGAGGTGTATTAAGCTCAGTTGAGGTAATCTCTGGCACTCATTTTCTTGTTTCTTATCATATTTATTTATGGGAAAAGATGATATTAGCCCAATAGCTCATATGAACATATGAGCCCAACGGCCCAGATTGAATCTGGACCGATCTGATGATCACGGATGTCTTGTAGTGCTTGAATTTTATTTATTTTTCTATAAATCTAAATCAATTAAAATATTAGGTATGTGTTCTTCTCATTAAGGCTCACCTAATAAAAATATAAAAAAATTTATTCGTGAACAAAATAATCAAAATACCCCCCAAATTTTTTTGGGGGTATTTGGTCAATTATTTCATGTAAAATATTTTTTTTGATATTTTTCAAATAAAACTACAACAATATGCTTAGGAATAACTAAAGACATAATAAATAAAAGAGAGGCTTTAGTGGCATCAATTTTTAGATCCTAGATTTGTTTTCTTTATTTCTTTTCAAATCAATTTATTGTAATGGACTACTTGTGAGTGATATAAGCCGAGAAAAAAAAAAAAGGAAAAGAAAAAGAAAAGGAAGAAAAATAAATAAATACATACACCGGCTAGATCACATAAGTCTCATCTTTTTTTATGGACTCAATATGTATCGTATATATCTAGTAAGAGTAATAATAACTTTTGAGATTGTATATTATGAGAATGTGGTACAAAAAAGTCACAATTACTTTTAACCATTAGATGTGAAATCCAATATATGAAAATATGTCATAATATTCGTGAAATTTTGTTTTGGACTTTATGTCTAAACAATGACATATCCTCAACCCCACGATTTTAACTCTAACGGGCAACAATGATCATGGCCTCCTTATATGAAAAATAAGTAGACGCTTTGAAACCCGGTTCCTAGCATAGTGTACAAATCCTTAATAAAATGAGAAAGAACTAAACCTAATAATTAATGAAAAATATGTTTTATTATAAGACCATTCACTTTTGGTACTAGAAAATCATACTTATTTTAGCAATTGAATATGAAATCCTGGAGAATTCGAAAAATTCGATTTTGGACTTTGTGCCCAATTATTGATACATTCTGACCTCTCCGATTTTAACAATAAAAAACAAAATATATTTCCTCTTTATATAGAAGTAAAGGAAAAAGTTTATATAAGGTTGCAAGTTTAAAATGTAGAATTAAAGATGCACCTCAAAAATCCATCGAAAAAGGTTGTTTTAATCTTGAAAAACCCTCCAATTGATTATCTCATCATCGAGATGTATAAATATGAAAAAAAAATATTTTTAGTCTCAGAAATAATGCATCTTGCAATACATTATCTAGACTGTCCATTTTTAAGATTTTCATATGTTTATAGATCTACGTTATTTTAATAATTTTTGGAGTTTAAAATTTTATAATTAGATATGACAATAAATTTTCAGATAATCCTAAGAATTTTTTACTGTGGTAAAATTTCGAGGTCCACCTTAATTGGATCATTTAAGGCTACAACCTTATAGAAACCACACCCAAAAGTAAATAGCAAAGTAAATA